CACTGGACACTCCCACATGGCCGACCATGGTTAGAGTCCTGGACCTAGTAGCTTGCTTTCTCATTCTCCCTCTTTGTCTCTCTGTGTGTCTTTCTCTGGTCAAATGAAAATAAACGAATGAATAAAATTAAATAATTGAAAAATAAAAATAATAGGGGTCAGCAGGTGGCACGGTGGTTAAAGGTGCTGAACTCCCACAGAGCCGACTGTGGTCCGAGTCCTGGACCTGGGAGCTTGCTTTCTCACTTTTTTTCTCACTCTCTCTCACTCTGTCCCTCTCTGGTCAAATTTAAATAAATAAATATAAATAAAGTTAAATAAAATAATTCTTTAAGGGGTCCAGGACGCGAATCGCGGTCGACTATGTGGGAGTCCAGCGACATAGCCATTACGCTAACAGCTGGTTCCCTTAAAAAAAATTTTTTTTTTCTTTTAAAACTTAAGAAATGAAAAACTTTGGGACCAGCAGTTAGCATAATGGCTGTGTCACTGGACTCTCATGTAGCCAGCCGACCAATATTCATGTCCCAGACCCGGTAGCTTAAACTCACGCCAGGTGTGTGTGCATGCGTGCCCAAGATCCCGAGAGGAGAATGGAGGAGAAGGGATTGCGGCGTGGCCATCCCCCCTGGGGGGTGATTTCTCACTTTCTGTCTCTCTGTCGAGTGCATGCACCCTATAGCAAAAAAAAAAAAAAAAAAAGAAAAAAAGAAAAAAGAAAAACAACAACCACCTCTCAAAAAAAAAAGAGAAAAGAGAGACAGTCCGCTGACTGTGGTTCAAGTCCTGGCCCTGGTAGCTTGAAAAACATGCTGAGCACATGCACACGTAAAGGAAAATAACCAGTGCTGTCACAAGGTAGAGAAATTAAAAAACAAAACAAAGGAACAAAAGGTCACAAACATTACAAATAGGAAAGGAAAATAACTTGGCAGTTCTTGCGCTTGCCAGAAAGACAGAGAGACACAGAAAGCGAGAAATCCCCTCCCAGGGGGGACGGCCACACCGCAATCCCTTCTCCTCCATTCTCCTCCCGGGATCTTGGGCACGCATGCACACGCACCCGGCGTGAGTTTAAACCGCTGGTTCTGGGACTCGAACCGTGGTTGACTATATGGGAGTCCAGTGACATAGCCATTATGCCAACTGCTGGTCCTGCAAAAAAATCTCTCTATAAAAAAAAAGAAAGAGGCACCAGCAGTTTGCGTAATGGCTATATCCGCGGATCCCTACGCAGTCGCCC